ATTCCATCATATATATATATAAATTGAATATTTTTTTAACCATTCATTTTTGCAATGTTGAATTTAGTTGAATTTACTTTCGAAATATTTTTTCAGAGACTTCGAACCTAAATTCATTTTACGCAGTTTAAAATTATTCTTGGCAGAAGAAACATTTTGGCATGGTCTATTGAAATAGAGCAATAAAACTTATGCAAATATTTTTAGTTGGACGCAGTTTTAAATTATTCATGCGTTATTGCAGAATGAATATTTTACGTATTTTTGTTAGATACCTAAAAAAAATTTTATTGTATAAAATTTCATTTTAGAAGACTTTCCCGCTCATATTTTTATCAGAAGAAGTTAAGAAAGTGTTGCCAAATCAATCGATAAAAAGTAAAAGAAAATATCGTCTTTTACTTTTTTTCTCCTTCATTATTGCCTTCTTTCCAATACCAAGGATAAAAATATTGAATTCTCCTCTAAACTTGGTCAAGTTCTTTTTTATGAAAGAAGTTTAAATTATTCGATTCGATAGCTTTTAAGTATGAAAGAAAGAGTCTAGAGCTTTAAAACTTAAATAAGTAAAAATTTCATTCCTTCAGAGAACTCAGCTTAAAAAAATCAATAATTTATTGATTATTTATTTTTTGAACTTAATGTGTCATTAAAGCGTAATGAAACCGTTTTTCTTTCGGTTTCTTTTCGTTTTTCTTTTTTTCTTTACTTTAAAAAAAAACAGGCTTTAAATAACGGGGATTAGAATATTCTTTTCATAGTTCATTTTCGTTTTGTTTTTATTGAAAGAAAAGTGAAATTATATTTGATAATAATGGGTATAATAAAGAGGTATTTTTCTAGGTTGAGTATATTCACACGTTTTTGATTATTAAAAAAAGATCAATATAAGAACATGGGATAATATCAGTTGGAAAAATAGCGCTTTGATTTTTTAATATGGGTAAATATCTCTAAAGTTTTATTGTTATTTGCGTTTCATAGTAATGGCTATTATTAAGAAGGATATTTTAAACTTTATTATTTTCACACATATTTAATTATTAGTGAAAAAAAATTTGCAATAAAACTAGCACTTTGATTTTTACACAATGAAATATCTTTAGGACTGTGTTTATTTGTGTTTATCAAAGTGTTAAGCGACAGTAAAGGTGTTTTGATAAACGTTTTTAATTCTTTAAATGACAATTGAAAGACTTTAGACAATATAACAATACGTCACAGTTTTTAAATGTTCAGGCAATTTTTTGTGAGAATTTTTGTAGAACAGCATGATTTTCGTTAAAGTAACATACATTCTATTATCTATTCTATTATCAAGCTTACAATTCTTTAAAACTAGTATTTTAAAATATAAATTATTATTTTAAAACAGTATAACTATATTTAGAAGATAAAAAACTGCTAAAATGTAATTTTTAGTATTTTGTATTACTCTTTTTGCCGTTTTGATCATTCTTTATTGACAGAAAGATAATTTGCCATGTTCAATTGCAATTTAAATTTATGAAGTATTTCATGAAAAATAATTCACGGGTTCATCAATTCATAGATAAATATGAGAAATAACAAAATATCAAATTTCAAACAAAACCTTAGAACAAAACGTTGAAACAAAAGAAACGTTTGCTACTTGGTGAATATAATGTGAAATTATCATATTTCAATTGGCAGAAATTTTTTATCCATCAATTCAATAAATATACTTACTTTTTATTTACAATATTATTGTTACATTTCAAAAGATTCATTGTTGTTAAAAGAATTTTAACAACAATGAATATTTTCTTTTTACCCTAAACAAAAGCATAAAAATAAATTAATAATTCAATTGCAAATTTCATTTTATCTATTAGGAAAATAAAATAAACATTTCCTTCTTGTTAAATAAGCCAACTACTCATTTTTAAATATAAAATTTTTTGCTCTTTTACCGACGTGTAAAATACCAACAAGAATTCATGTTTAAGCTTATGTATATAAGTGCGTTGTTTCAAAAATTGTAATTCTATTTAGAATAATTTTAAAATAAAAATTATTTCTTAGAAATTAATAATTACTATGTTTTTTAAATTGGTTCAGTAAGGTACTGGTCAGACATTGTGGAGAACCGGGGTTCGGATCTCAGAGGTGGCTCGAAGCACATCCAGCTTCAGTTCAAAGATTAGCAACTTGTCTGGGAAGTAAAGGCGGTTCATGCGTGACAATGTCGTAATCATTCCATTGGTCACAAAGTTGAAGAGCAATGTTTTCCCTGGCTCATTATGAGCTGTTGCGGGTATGCTTTTTTTTAAAAATTTGCCTCTTATCAAACTTATTTTTTTAAATAAATGATTTCTGTGAAAACTTTTTTCATAAAAATGCAAATACCATTGAAAGTAGGGTATAATTTATGCTGCATAGAAATAAAGTTAAATAATGTGAATACTAATAAGGACAAATAAAAAAAGGTACTTGCTTATAGAACCGAAACTGCAGAATGTTTATTTTTGTGTTTTTTTCGCATAATTTCGCTTCATACATTTAAAGGCCTGGTAGACAAAGCTTCTAAAAGTGATACTTTTGAGATAAAATGTTATGATTTTAGAAAAAAGATCTTATTTTAGCCTTGTTAACTATTGTGTTAAGCCTTTTAAGATGATGGTGACGGGGAGGATGATCCTCGGAAAATCAAATATACCCATGGTGGAATAAAAGACCGGTGATCTTGTACGAGTCGCGTCGCTCTACGCATTCCCCAATTAGAGACAGGGAGGAGTAAAATTGCAGAGCAGCAGTTAAATGTATCTGTTGCAAGGTCGAAAGTCGAAGATCTGAAAGGATGATGGAACTGAGTGCGATTCCATCATTGTTTTTGGAGGGGAAGTTGGTTCCAAGTGCATTTGACAACGAAAAATCAACTGGTAAATTTACATAGCATCTCTTTTGACAGTAAACCTGAGCATCAAGAGTACGTAGGCTAAAACGCGAATAGTTTAAATTATTCATATGAGTTTATAGATTTAGCCAATTAAAAGTCGGGGAACAGGAAATAAAAGCAAGACAAGTTTTGTTTCTTAATCGCGGTGTCGTATAAATTTTCTATCAGCTTAAGTAGTATCTATATTTTAATTTATATTGCGTTGTTTTATGTGCACGTGGATCTATTTTCTAATAAAATGAGACCTGCAAATTGTGCAAATAGGCAGAAAACCGCTTAGTTTACATTAGTTGGCATAATTTTATTTTATTTTTATAACCCTCGTGGAGCAGCCGACCCAATTTTGGGTTTACGACTGCTAATGTTCAACTCCATAGCCTTGTATTTTTGAAACTAATTCAGAAGACAAGGGAACTTATGTATCAAGTATTGGGAGAAATTTGCCTTCATGGAGGATTTTTTGATGGAACTAATCCACATATTTATTATATTAAAAAGAAAACCTCCCACCGTTAGCCTAGGGGGCTCATTGATCCGTCTACCTTTGGCCCATGATCTGTCTACCACTGAGGATATTTTACATCAGTACTGCGGTGCGGAATTCGTAACGACCAGCCTTTGCTGGGCGAGGTTCACCTCACTCGTAAAAAGCGAACGCTCCATTCTTTGAGCCACAACGGCTCTGTCAACATAATTGACGAATATCCGCATACTATTTATGTTTTTTTTAGAAAAATGTCTCTATTTACCAGATAAACTTGTCTAAAGGTTTCTTCCAATGCATCTTCACGTATTTTTTCTCAGCTAAGAATTCTTTAAGCAACTCATTTTTAACGTATCTTTAAAAAAAAGTGTTTTGTGTTAAAAACTGTTCAGTGTTTTACGCCGAACAATCAGTAAAATTAGATATTGGTTACAATAGTTAATTTTGAAAAGAGTGATCTATCTATAAAACTCTAGTATCTAGTAACACAAAGTTAAGCTTGTACAAAAAAAAACATGCCAATTAATGTTCTAACATGGACTTAATCTAATATTTGAGAACTTAGTGTACTTGTAGAAATATTTGACAACAGCTCTGCTTTGTTTTACTCAACTAACTGAACTAATCCAAACGAATGAACATAGAAAGTAATAGAATCTCTCAAAAATCTGAGTTAAGGAATAAGTTACGGTCAACTTAAAGTCGAAGTTTATTTTTAATGAAAACGTATGTTTTCAGCCAGCTCCTTGATATTTCTATACATTTTCATTCCATTCTGAAATTGACTAAAAGTGCCATTTAACGCGTTTAATCTATTTGAATAATAATAATGTTAGGAATTTTTAAAATGACGCCTTTTTTGTCAAAACAAAAACAAAAATTGTTGTTTCTTTTTTATAACTACTTCGAATTTCGAATAATATCACATTCTTTGGAGAAAGTTATTGTGATGCGACAAAAAAAAAAGAATGAAAATAATATACTGTTGATTAAATAGCTCGTTTCTTATGTCTGGTGAAGCGTACTTTCAGTTTCTGAGCAGTAGTCTTCTAGAATACCCACTCGATTAGACATTTTTGTTCGAAACACGCCATAATTCTTTCACTCATTTTCTTCTACGGCGAAGTAAACGTCTAATAGATATCCAACAGGGCAAAGAGATTTTCGCCTTTATCCTTAATGACCTGTTGCCAGGCAATGGCGCAACTCTTTTATGCGATTTAGGTGACATAAGTTTGTGTCATCCTACTTGAGTAACGATCGACCAATGGATTGGTATTTCTTTGCTTTCACTTTTTTAGCGCAGATCTATTTAAACATACGGTGTGTTACAAAATATCACCCCCAAAATATCACTTATTTTTTATGGTACACTGCATAAAACTAATAATTTTAAAATAGTGAAGTAAATTATATTTTATCGAGTAAATAGAAAAGTGAAAAAAAGTAAAGTTAGTTACACAGAGCAAACGATTTTTTTAAAAAAAATCTAGGGGTTACGTAAGTAAAAGACCACCTATTTCTTTTTTTCAAAATTGTTTCAGTTTTCGAAATCTTTTTTTTATTTTTCTTTGAAAATCATATTTAAAAAGTAACTTCGTATCACAGAAAATGCAAACGATTATATCATAAAGAGAATTCGAATTTAATTTATTTGTTTTTATAGTAAAATTCGCTTTGCTTTGTAGCAAAGAATTATCTGAGCTAGAATTTTAAAAAAATTTAAAGGCTCTGGTAAGTCCGAATAAGAAATATCTAAGTTAATTAAACGTTATAAAACTGCAGCTGGTAATGCTTAAACCAAAAGAGGTTCTTATAGAAAGTATAAAAGATCTGGTAGGAAGCGTCAATTATTAGCTTGGGAAAATGGATCAATTTGAAAACTTGTAACAAAAAAGAACTTGTCTACTTGCAGAATAACTCAGAAAAATAAGTAGAACGATCTCTCATACAACAGTCTGGCACACTTAGAGATCAAATTCGAATGTTGTTCTTCGAAAATTAAAAAGAAAGCCAAGACTGTTAAAACATCATGAAGAAGAAAAGCCGAAGTAGGTTTATATGATTTGGGTAGGTTTATATGATTAGAGTTTATATGATTTTGTTTTCCCTTTTTTTAATTTTTTTTTATTTTTTTCATTATTAAAAAAAATTAAATGTTTTTTTATAAATTTTTTTAAAAATATTTTTTTGTTTTCCTTTTTTTCGTATTTTTATCATATTTTATGGGTTCTATGAGCTTACAGACATGTATTTACATAAGAAAGTATCTTTTTTTTTTCTCTTTTAAAGCAAAATTTATTAGAAATTCATTTTTTTCTTAATGTTTCACTAATTTGCTTTTAGAATAAAACATATCATGCTTAGAGATCATATTAACGAAAAATTAATTAAATATTCGAAGTAACTAAATAACGGAAAGGTAATGAAATAATTGCTCATCTTCAGCGTGTGAGCCAATCATTCTAAATGTCTAACATAATTATTTTAATCTGCGAAATTACATGTCTTACCTGTCAATACTTATGGCAACTAGATTAAAAATTGATGCTGTACTACAGGTGACGTCGACTGCAATGTAAAAATCACAAAGAGTGTCACTCAGCTCCCAATCAACATTTACCTGAAAATAAATTAACAATAATTAGCGACGCAAAAATCAAACAAAATATAATATTCTAAAGTAACAAAGATGTTAAAGTAACATAAGCATCCTTCATCCCTGGCAAGAAGCGTGGTTTCCCTCACTAACTCGCAATCTCGTGGCTCCTCTCCCGAAAGTGTATATATATATGGAATTTTAATATTTAAATTTAAAAAAAATTAATGTCTGCACTTGACATTGACTGAAAGCATCGATTGAAAACCTCAAGAATCGTAAAAAGTGTGAAGAATTAAACTTCGTGGGTCATCGTCAGTGGATCGTCTATTCACCGTGAATTAAACTTCGTAATTAAAAGGCCTGGTTTCTTAGGACAGGACGCCGTCAGCTGGAAATCAGCGTTAACCTCTGATTGGTCCATTTGTGAGTTTGATAGTATACGTCATTGAACGCTCATCTTGAACTACAATTGCCGTCCAACTCAACTGCAGTTGGATTACAACGTGACGTTAACCACAGAAGCAATGGCGGACAACATCCAACAGCGCATTGAAATCAGCCAAGATTTTGATTTTGACATTAAACATAGCTTCTTCATTAAACATAGCACTCTTCATTTAGCTCAGCTATAATGTGTTTTTTCTTGGACAAAGTCATTATTTGTTCTCTAAAACACTGGTCGACAATA